AGTCAACACCGACCCACATAAACGGACGTGATGGCGTAACTCTCGAAAGAGATAGTTGGCCCAGGTCGACTACGAACCGTCGTGGCGGACGGACGTGTCGGCGGATCGCTCCGTCGTATTGTGAATTTGTACCGGTATTTGTCATGTGACGAGTAATTGCAGTGTCTTAATTTATAAAGTACGTAACCAGTGTCAAGTGTGAAAATTTGTCCAAGTCCAAATTCTGTGCATAGTGCTGTAAATTCGTGAAATTTGTCTTGTTCATGCAAATGGCGTCCGTTCCGACACGTATCCCGAACAACGTGGCCGACCGTCCTCGTTTCCAAGCCTCCCATGCATATATAGCGGCCTGTGGGATTTTCAAGAAAGGCTACGGCTTATATCTAAGCTAGCCGACGGCCTTCATATCCTCATAAGGTCAGTCATTGATATTATTTTGTGATTTGCTTAAGCAACCACGTTTAACGCCAACGAGACTTCCGGTTTCGTTCTCCTTCACAAAGTACTACGGCGTTCAACTCGGTGATAAAAATCCGCATCAAACATTAAACTTAACGTCTATATAGGAAATAGAATTTAACTTATCTTAGTGTAATTTATCCATGTTTTATCTCGTCAGCCCCTACTAGAACTTCATTAAATTGATAAGTCGCGTAGCATTTCATAAAATATGCCGGCTACTTCCGGCTTCTTCTTGAAATTATAGCCGTTCTATTGGCTAACTTATTGCCTGGATATGACGTATCCTAGGTAACAGCCAATTATAGGAGTTACGATCAACGATTGGTCTTTGGGAATCTATGACACCAATAGTATTACTCTAGTACATATTATGATTGGCTGGTTCCAACCCATCGAAGCATCGCAAATATGATGCGTACTAGTTTGCCGCGAATACGCGACATAACCTAAAAATATCACCTCTTTACGCGTGGCTACCGATAGTGAGTGACGCTCCTGACTTTTACTGTTACTTTGTTCTCTAAGTTGGTTTTATTTCGCCACTTTAATTATATAATTCGTTCATTATTCCCAACTATTATTCTCAGGAATATTTCTATGCTTTAACGATAAATATAAAAATCTTGTTATGCTGCATCCATTTAACTGTGCAACATAACCTGAAACCATGTGGCACCTAACATCTGATCTCCAATCTACATCGTGTAAGTTTACTACAAATTCTAATTAACTTTAGCTATTAAAACAATGTTTATCTTATATGTATGGATCATTATAATACTCCTATAATTAGAATGTACCGCGATATGTCTAAACAAAGTACTGCGCAGTTAAACCGCATTTTCCTATAGAACTCTCAGCTTGTCTTAGTAACGCTGAAAATCGCATTCTTAATTCTTATATTTCTAATTTTCTTCATTATAATGACTACTCTATATTAATATCTCTTTAAATAACCTATTATAACTTTATTTGTTGGTCTAGAGACA